TGCAAGATCTGCTTCGCCAGCGCCATCGAAAGCTTCACCTGCACACACACAATCCACAAACAGACCAGGCGTCAGCCCCTCTTCAACACTTTTCAAAGGAAACAGCGTCCGCCCCTCAAACCCTCCTCCCCGCCACCCACCATACCCTCCCCCCCCCTTTGAGGCTTGTGTTCAAGGCCGCTGCGCAAGGATGACACGCTTCAATCGAGATATGGAGCATATAAAAAAACTAAAAAAAGGGATGAATCTACCGCTACAACATGGCAATATACACTGCCACGTGTGTGTGTGTGTGTGTGCGCGTGTGTGTTTTGAGTGTGTGCACATATGCACGCCATGGCAAGGTTCACTATACCAGGTAGATTCTCCCGTGACGAATCACGGGCACACCTCTAGCCTAGGTAACTGTCGCAAGTATGATAGATTCCATCTGCTATGGCGAGAACGACATCTACTCATGTTTTCGAGTACTTTCAGGCAAGGCGGGTAGGGCGAGCGGACAAACCACATGCCAGCAAAACAGCCAAACAGACTAAAAAAAGGGGTTGCCAAGGGCTGGAGGGTCGGGGGAGAATTGCGCACCGACCCATTACCCTCTCGCTGGTGAGACTGCGAGCAGAAAGCCCATAAGCAAACTAACAAGAAGACCACACCCCAGCAGAGCAAACAAACACATCCAAACCGGATGCCACGGGCACGAGGGCCGAGCATCCTCCGCTCCGACTCATCAGACTTTTCTTGATGAGACTGCGGGCAGACCACACGCAAACAAGCTAATAGGAAGAGTTTGGAAGACCACAAACTAAACAAAACAGGCAAACCAAAAAACATGACCAACATGGATGTCAGGGCCAGGAAGGCAGAAACACCTTGCACACCGACTCACCAGCCTTCTGCTGATGGGACCGCAGGCCGGAGCAACTTCACACAAGCACATCAAACAGGCAGCCTTGAAAAAACAAAAACAAATACCTAGGCCAAGCAGGCCGGGCCATCCTTGTCCATACACTCATTTGCCTTTAGCTGATGAGACTGCGGTTGGACTACACTTAAAGAGACCAGACTGGCAGACCAATCTTAAAACAGTAACTGAAAAAATAGAAGCTGATGATGATTGTTTCGTCGGAATTGCACCGAGTCATCACGAGGCTGAACCCTCGACAATCTGCGGCATCCCCAGTTTTGGATGCGTTAGGTCATGAAACCTTTGACCCGTGTTGAAGGCAGGTTGCCCACAAACGGAACACGGCAGCAGCGAGTGACGCCGTTGTGAAGCACCGGGCAACACACTCAACGCCAGTGTACTGCGCAGCACCAAAGACGGCTGCAAGCGGAAGACAACGTCAGTGGAGATGAACCATGGCACCCATTTGGGGGGGGCACAAACCCACACCCAAACGACAACCATCCGACACGCCACAAACGAAGGGACCCAAAAGCGGAATACAACAGCAACGATCTACGCCGTTGTGAAGCACCAGGCAACACACGCGGCCCAACTCAACTGCCCAACACCAAAAACGACTGCAAGTGGACATGCAGTATGGCACCCGAGTGGCGAAGCCACACTCAAACGACAACCATCCAACACGCCGCAAACAAAAGGAACCCAAACGGCAAGGCACCAGAATGGGCAGCCTGGAGGCAGCGTAACGACACACAAGGCACTGCCAGCAATACATCCAAGCCACAAAGGGAACACAGCAGCACAAATTGGACAACACCCAAAGCAAGAGGGATGGGCAACAAGACAACGGTGGAACGCAGACAGCACAAGGCAGCCCACACATCCAACACAGAGCCAAGCAACACATGACCTACCCACATCACGGGTGAACACCGTAGACTGTTGGTTCCCACCACCCAATGAGCCAGGGAGTCACTCCGACGGACATCCATCATCACCCACAGGCAACATAGACATCACCAACGGAGCGGCCCCCCTAAGAGTGCTTACGGCACTCCAAACAGCAGACCACCGACTCTTTAGCACTCTGTGGGGGTGCTCACTCCAGACAACAAAAAGGTACTCAGAAAAAAACAAGAGACAAAAACAGAGACAAACAAACTTTTATAAAATTGATTGTGTGTGTGTGTGTGTGTGTGTGTGTGTGTGTG